CACACACACACACACACACACACACACACAAAAACCTGATAAAGACAGATTAACAGGAGAAAAGCATTCACATTTATTTAATATAAACTTTTCAGGACACGGCAGCCTTTGTAAGGAAATGAAGACCCAGAAAAATGGTTAAACCTGAGTATTTTTATGCTAGGTTTGATGAAGAGTGGAAATTCGTGGAGAAATACAATAGGGCAAAGAGTATGAGGTAAGTGCAGTAAACTGGGGGACACTCGGCAAGATTCCTCTCAGTGTCCCTCTGTCTTAAAGATAAGGATGCTCCTTTCCTCCAGTACAGGGAGGGCACCTCTCACATGAGGGTCTTATGACCTGCTTCAGGGGAGAGTCAGAGAGTCCTTCCTGCACCTGCCATTTCTCAGTTTATTTCAGCTTAAAATATTCAATATGCCAAGGTGCCATATTGTGGGGGAGCATGTCTGAACCCCATCAGCCAGCTCCAGGCCCAGTGGAGCAAAAAGGCTGAGAAGCCAAGTTTAACTTGAGAAACAGCCATGCTCTCTTGACCGGACTTCCCAGAAATCTCCTCGGGGGCCCCCTCCTGGCAGAGTTCAAAGGGAACTGAGAGCAGCCACCCCAGCTGGCTGAGGCTTGGAGAGATTCTGAGCGAATGAACGGAGAATTTCTGAATGAACCAGCTGAGGCGAGAAAAATCATGAACAGAGGAGGGAAGAGAACTCACTTGGGGTTTTTAAAGGATTGCTGTGGCTGCTAGGTTGAGAATGGCCTGGAAGGGGGTGAGGGAAGACGCCAGGAGACCAGCTGAGAGCCTCATATCACCATCCATTCAGGAGACAGGTGTCTCCCGCACACACCTGGCCTCCTCACCTCCCAGTCTTGCCTTTTCACAGAGTCTGCACTCTGCTCTCCCACCTACTACTTCCTATGTGCTCTGCAAGGCCCAGCGAAGTTATTGTTCTCCAAGCTTTCCAGGACGAACACTGCATGCCCCCGACTTGTCGTTAGATATTCTTTAAGCATTTGATGCTTCAGTGCCACAAAGCAAGCCTGCAAATGAGAGCGGAGGGAAGAAGCAGACTGAAGTTGGGAGACACATCCTGGCCCCAGTTTTGCTGCTAACCAGCTCGGGCAGATCACCTCATTTCCCTGTATTTGCCTTTCCACACCACTGTTATGGCGGAGTTGTGTCCCCCCAAATTAACATGTGGAAGTCCTAACCCCCAGTACCTCAGAATGTGACCTTATTTGAAGATAGGGTCTTCACAGAGGTAATTAAGTTCAAACAGGGTCATTAGGGTGGGCCCTAATCTAATCTGATTGGTATCCTTATAAGAGGAAGTGAGGACACAGACCCACACAGAGGGAAGACCATGTAAAGACACGGAGAAGACAGCCTTCCACAAGCCAAGGAGAGAGGCCTCAGAAGGAACCAGCCCTGCTGACACCTTTTTTTGTGTGTGTGTTTTTTTTTTTGTGAGGAAGATCAGCCCTGAGCTAACATCCATGCCAATCCTCCTCTTTTTGCTGAGGAAGACTGGCCCTGGGCTAACATCCGTGCCCATCTTCCTCCACTTTATGTGGGACGCCGCCACAGCATGGCCTGACAAGCGGTGCATCAGTGCACCCCCGGGATCGAACCCCGGGGCCGCCAGCAGTGGAGCTCGAGCACTTAACTGCTACGCCAAGGGGCCAGCCCCCTGCTGACACCTTAATCTCAGATTTCTAGCCTCCAGAACCGTGAGACAATAAATTTCTATTGTTTAAGCCACTCAGTCTGTGGCACTTTGTTATGGCAGCCCCAAGAAACTAATTTACCTGCAAAATGGGGACTTAGGACCCATGGCTCCTAATACCCCTTGAGAGTAAAAACTAGACGTCTTGATTCTAACTGTTCCATTTTATCTCTATGTGTGCCTTTTTTCCCCCAAAAAAGTTGCCATCGTTGAAAGTCAAGGAACTTCAAAATCCCAGCGGAGTGCTGGGCACATGGTAGCTCCCAATAAATGCTTACTGAATGAGTAACAGAACGAGAGTGCAAAGTAGCAGGGAGGACCCTTAGTTCTGCGAAATATAGTGGACACTCATTCAACAAATGTGCATTGTGCACCTGCTATGTGCTGGGCCCTGTTCTAGGTGCTGGGGTCACAGCGGTGAACAGGAACTGTCCTCTCTGCTTTCATGGAGGTGACATTCTAATATGGGGGGAGGAGGAACAAACCATAAACACATAAATAAGTAAATTATGTAATATTGCTAGTCGGTCAGCCCCAACCCCTCACTGAACAGCTACCTTGCGCCAGGAGCTGCCCCACAGGTGAACAAGGCCACTCTCCTGTTGCAGCTGCAGCCCCAAGCAACCACTCTGTCGGTTTTCTAGGGCTGCCATGACAAAGTACACAAACTTGGTGACTTAAAACAGCAGAGATTGATTCCCACAGTTCTGGAGGCCAAATCAAGGTGTCAGGAAGGCTGTGCTCTTTCTGAAGGCCCTAGGGGAGGATTCTTCCTTCCCTCTAGTTTCTTGTGGTTGCCAGCTATCCTCGGCACTCCTTGGCTTGTAGATGCATCCCTCCAATCTCTGCCTCCATCATGATGTTCTCCCTTGTGTCTCTGGTCCAAATTTCCATTTTCTTATAAGGATACTAGTCATCAGATTAGAACCTACCCTAGGGACCGGCCTGGTGGCGTAGTGGTTAAGTGCGCGTGCTCCGCTTTGGCGGCCTCAGGTTAGCAGGTTCGGATCTCGGGCGTGGACCTATGTACTGCTTATCAAGCCATGCTGTGGCAGGCGACCCACATATAATGTAGAGGAAGATGGGCATGGATGTTAGCCCAGGGCCAATCTTCCTCAGCAAAAAGAGGAGGATTGGCAACGGATGTTAGCTCAGGGATAGTCTTCCTCATCAAAAAAAAAAAAAGAAGAAGAACATACCCTAATCCAGTGTGACCTCATTTTACCTTGATTACACCTGCTGGGATCCTGTTTCAAATAAGGTCCCATTCACAAGTACCAGGGGTTTGAACGTATCTTTTGGAGGGACACGAGTCAACCCACAACAGCCACCATCTTGCTTTGCCCACTCAGAGCGAGCAAGACTGCGGCAGAATTTAAAGGTGAGGAATGTCCCTCTCCACTCCATTTGTGGAATCCAATTAATTCTGTTAATCATTTTTGGATCTTTTTTTTAACTGAGCTAGAAGAAAATTATCCCAGCTAAGTCAAAATTTGGGGGTCTCGGGATAAAATCCTTTTTTTTAATTGGATCTCTCCTACTCAGCATTTCATTATGATAATTTTTGAACACACAGAAAAGGCAGAAGAGTACAGTGAACACTCATGTGGCCACCACCTAGATCCTACTTAGACTGTTGATCTATTGCTCCAGGCATTTTGGATTGTCTCTCTTTCTGGTTTGTCCCTCTATTGGTCAACATTTCCTTTAATCCCAGGTTGCTCCAGATCTATCATGAGCCGCCTAAGAAGACATGGGGGTGGGATTCGGGACCCAGTGTGTGCATGGAGCTGGTTGTTTGCAGGGTCTGTTCACGCACAGATGGGAGGCCCTCATGACACCCAACAGAAGCAGACAAGAGCAGAACACACAACTGGTTAAACCTCCACAGGGACTCTCAAGGGTGCCAGAGGGGCCTGGAGGCCCTGGCCCTCTTCAGAAGGCCTCACACAGGAATGCCAAGGCCAGGGCAAATGTCCTAAGTACAAAAGTCACTCAACTCTGAGAACCTTCGAGGACCACCCCCGAGCTCTTTTTTAAACCTTAAAAAGAAAAGAGAAAACAGGAATTGAGAAGCAGGTTTTCTTCCCTGTTTTGACAACCTACATCCCATTCTTCCTACACACACATAGCCCTACACACATAGCTACACACTACTACACACACCCCTATACAAACCCTGTACACATATGCCCTTCACACACACCATTACACACACACACACACACACACACACACACACAGAGTAGGGGGTCCTGTCTTGGATATTTTTAGAGAAAGTAGTTTCATTGGGATCTTTTCAGTTGAGCTCAAATTTCATTTCTCCATTTGGGAAAATCACATTTCAAAATTGCTTTTGCTCAATAGATTGGAAGCGCTGGGAATTGGCCAAATCACAGCCCCCGCAAGGTTTCACCACCATTTTATTTATTAACACCCTCCCTCTCTTGCAAATGAGAAATTGTGAAATCCTTTTTAAACTAAGGGCTCTTATACCTACTAAGCCGGTTTTTCAAAAACAGAAACCACTGACCCACTCACTGGTTTTCTTTGATTGTTAGAGGTCAAAGATTAATAAAATATGTTAACTTCAATTGCCAAGCTTCCAAAGCACTTAAAATGCGCCTATCTCAGTGAGATCTGGCACCATCATTACCACATTATAGATGAGGAGACCGACATTCAACCAACCGATTACCAGGCTTGTTGAAAAGCAACCTGATTAGTCAGTTAACAAATACACACAGCACGCTGGGAACCAGGAAACGAATGGTCAGCGAGTTGTGATAGGGAAACACGGCTTTCTTCTTTGCTCTATTAGCAGGAGTGATTTAATCCATTCTAGGGAGGAGTCCCCTCTCCTGGAACAGAATGCACATCTTTGACCATCCTTCCCTCCAAGAAGGGAACCAGTGTTTCTGCTGCCAAGAACCGCCATTTATTGAGTCCTTCCAGAGTCAGGCACGGTTCTAAGACATAGAGCATTCATTTCAGGGGTTCTTACCTAAGGTCCACCTCAAGGTTCAGTGTATAGAATTCAGGAGGTTCTTGAACTTGGAAGGGGAAAAAAATTACATCTTTATTTTCACTAGCTTCTAACTGAAATTTAGCATTTGCTTCTGTAATGAATGTAGGGAACAAGCCACAGCATTATTGTGACTCTGTCCCCAATCGAAATCCCAGATATTTTCATCACAAGACAGTTGTTACAGAAATTTCCTGAGGTCTTTGCATTACTACTTTTGAATTAATTGACCTGCTGCCATTTAATTTCTAATAAAGCAGTGCTTATAGTACTACATCATACATTTGCTTAATATTTTGGTAACTGAATTTTGACATCATTTTTTTCTGTAAAGCACCTTTTTTATTATTTTGACTTGGGGTAAAATACATGTAACATATAATTTACCGTCTTAACCATTTTTAAGTGCACAGTTCAATGGTATTAAGTACATTCACATTGTTGTGCAACCATCACCACCACCCATCTCCAGAACCTTTTCCATCATACAAAATGAAACTCTACACCCATTAAATAATAACTCCCATTCGCCTCTCCCCCAGGCCCTGGCAACCACCATTCTGTCTCTATGAATTTGACTACACTAGGGACCTCATAAAAGTGGAATCATACAATATTTGTCCTTTTGTGATTGGCTCATTTCACTTAGCATAATGTCCTCAAGGTTCATCCATGTTGTAGCGTGAGTCATAATTTCTTTCTTTTTTTAAGGCTGGATAATATTCCATTGTATATATACGCCACATTTTACTTATTTATTCATCTGTCGATGGACACTTGGGTTGGATATAATTAGTTTTCTCTGTAATCCCATGTATTTTATTATATGCTTTTAAAAGTGTTGTTTTGAGAAGGGGTCCATCAGCTTCACCAACCCTCAGAGGGATCCATGTCTCATATACAAAAGATGAAGAAGCCCTGTGAGACAGACGTTAGGAAATGGGCTCAGAGAAGTTAAGACATTGCCCAAGGTCACCCAGCTGGGATTCAAGCCTAGCTCAGTCAGACTCCAGAGCCCACCTGTACAGTGTGACTTCCCATTCACTGCGAATGACTTAGACTCTGTTTCAATGGGCATTTGGGGTTTTGCCAGATGGCCCTCCATTGGCACTGTGAAGGATATAAAGACGTACCACGTCACAGCACCGAAGCCCAGGGCTCGGGTCAGTGTTTGCAGGAGGAAGGTCCAGCCCTCCCTCCACTCCCATTTCTTGAGCAGTGCCCATTGTGTCCGAGTCTTCACTCTGCCTCTCAGACCCCGTGGTGAGGCCCCCAGGACCCCTGGGTGAGACCCAAGGGGACCTCTGATGCCTCCTAATGTGCTGAAACCCCAGATCTGGGACAGTGGGGAGCGTGCACCCCATTACACCCCCAAGTCTGTGAGCACACAACAAGAACACCCTCCTTCTCGCCTACCAGCTACAAGAGAGCAATGATTCCAGATCCGGTGTGAAGTCATGTCACATACTTTACACCCAACATAAACTTCTGGGCTCTGCAATTGCTCTAGTCTAGCAAAATTTCCCTCGGAGAAAGCTAAGAACCGAGACTATTCACGCCAGTGCCATGGGAGACCCTCTGGAACATGCTAAAACTCCCGGCGATCGCCACATTATGACTCTTTTTCCCTTTCTCGTGAGCACTGACGGGGTTAACAATAGTGGCTAACACGGTCTGGCACCTTCTATGTGCCAAGCTCTTTAATTCCCCAGCAACCCTATGTGGCAGGGGCTATTACTGCCCATTTTACACAGGAGGAAACAGAGGCCCAGAGTGGTTAGTAATTTGCAAGAAGTCACATGGATGGTGAGTGGCTTGAACTTTGCCCCCAGCTGGTCTGCATGAAGGACATCAGGCCAAGATCTGTGTCGCCTTTCTAGAACATGAGCCTCAAGTTGCAACAAGGGAGGAAGACACGTAAATGTCTGTGAATTTCTTTGTTAAAACTTTTTTTCACCTTGTTTAGAAGACGTGCTAGTTTGATTTCAAGAAGCAAATGAAGGGGCCGGCCCCGTGGCGTAGTGGTTAAGTGCGCGCGCTCTGCTGCTGGCAGCCCGGGTTCGGATCCCGGGCACGCACCAACGCACCGCTTGTCAGGCCATGCTGTCGGGCCATGGTGTGGTGGCGTCCCACATAAAGTAGAGGAAGATGGGCACGGATGTTAGCTCAGGGCCAGTCTTCCTCAGCAAAAAGAGGAGGATTGGCATGGATGTTAGCCCAGGGCTGATCTTCCTCGCAAAAAAAGAAGCAAATGAACAGTTAAGAGCCCAGATTCTAGAAATATTCAAATTCACTAGATATCAGAGAAATGCAAATTGATACGACATTATGAGAGAGCATTTTACACTCATCAGAACGGCAAAAATTAGGGGGGTGGAAATGAGAGAGGTGGAGTGTTGAGGTGGAGTGTTGGCAAAGCCATGCAGAGAGGCAGGAGAGCAAGGAGCTAAGAGTCCAGGTGCCACCACGACTCCAGGGGGAGCTTGCACCCCACCCGGGCATTTCCAAGCTGGTTTTCTTATCTGGAAAATGGAGATGATACTATGTACTTCATAGAACTGTTGTGAGGACTCCAACAGCTGTTGACACCAAAAGCTGGGAAGGGCGCCTTGCCGAGTAAGGGCTCTG